GTCCTATCCGTTTTGCATCCTCTAACGACATGGTACGGCCGTTTCTTTTGTCTCTAATCCTGTCAATTCCTACGAACTCCGCGTGTGGTTCAAGTTCTACTGACTGTACTTGAGAAGTACTCTTCACAGTGGTTTTTGTTTCCGTTACAAACGGATCACCGTGCATCTGGATTGTGAATTTCATTCCAGTTGAGGGGTCGACATATTCTCCTTTTTCGACGCCGCCTTCTCCTCGAACCACCTTTACCATAACTTGCTTTCCTCCACCAAGATCTACGTATTCGTGGCGATCATCGCCATTACGGCGTTGTACGACTTGCTGAGGTGCAAAAGGTGTCAGCTGCAGCTTTTGTTCGACGATTTTGTGAGCAGTGTGAGATGGGCGGGATGTAGAGCCAGCTCCAGCAATCAATCCGGTAGTGAGGGCCTGAGGGAAGCTTGTTGCTTCATTCGTCTGCTGGTTGTGGATGAGCCCTCGCTCTGGATCAACAATACGACGGGAAACGGCCTCATGATAAGAGTATTCAGTTCCACTAGCAGGATCTCGGACAACGATAGAGCTTTGGTCCACCAAATTCTTCTTGAGTGCTTCGTGAAGGGGTACTGAAGCACCACTGGGTTGTGTGTAACTTCCAGTGGCAAGATCGAGACGGCCAGAAAACAGTCCAGATTCAAGGGAGTCGCCGAAGCTCTTTCCCTCCAGTATACCCATTTGGAGAGCAGAGTTCAAGTCGTGTTTCTTTTGAGTCTGGGTGTCCAATACGGTTCCAGCTGTGTCGTCAACAATGCCTTCTTGAATTGCTTCCAACAAAGATATCTTCTTGTTGTTCTTCTTGTCCACTACGGAAGTATCATATGGGTTGAACAATCCCTTGATAATGGCTTCCTTGAGAGTCATCTGACGATGAGTATCAGGATGTGTGAACATTCCGTCATTGGCATTGTACCAACCCAGGCTGAGTGCGCGGGCCAGTGTGTTGTCCACTTGAGGAGCACCAGTAGAGGTAGCTTGTTTTTTCGCAACTTGTGTTCTTGTTTGTACTTTGACAGAGGTATGAATTGCATCACCAGCGTTGTCGAGAACACCTCCCGTAGGATAAATCCGATGTTGTTGTGCAGCTTCGGTGAATGACAGACGCTTGTTATCGATTTTGTCAAGATAGTAACCTCTTTTGTCGATGATACCCCACTTTTCGGCTTCAGTGAACGACATTTCACGGCCAGTGAGAGCATCTCTAACAGCAAGATCCTCGGGTTGGATTTTTCCAGCCAAGAGGGCTCGTTCGAGGGGTAGTCGTTCTCCTGACATATGGTCGATAAGAACGCCCTTTGTTGAGTCGAAAGACCACGATTGTTCAGATTCCTCTACAACAGGAGTTCCAACGGGACGGAAACTGATCACAGGTCCTCCACCAGACGGTATGTGAATTATGTTCTTCGAAACACCACTTGCAGGTACGACCGCCTCAGCATCGATGACAATGACACCAGCTTCAACTGCTTTTTCAATGTTCAAGGTTCTGCCTTGGTATGATACAGATCCGTCAGCTTCAATGATCTTCTTCTCGAGCGCTTCTTTGACGTTCAACATACGACCGGATTTCGGGTCTTTCACAGAGATCGAAGACGGATCAATAATGCCCAATTCGATGCCATCAGCAAAAGAAATAGCACGATCCACATTGGGCGAAGAAATGTTACCCGTAGTGAGATCTATGATTCCTTTGCGCTCCGCTTCGTAGATGTGGTATCCGTTTCCGGGTACTTCCATTGCACCTTTGCCGCCAGTAATAGCTCTGTACACCGACACTCCGCCAGGTCCTCCGAGTGCAGTAGTTTCCGTGGTACGGACACGCTTGACAGTAGTCACCGACTCTTCAATATTCTTGTCGGGATAAAACTTGGGTGCCAATTGCTGTCCAGTCTCGGTGACACTTTCGGTAGTTTTTTCCTCGATGGTGGGACCAACGCCGTTACTTTTGGACGGGACAATCCATTCGCTCGATGGATCAATGAGGCCTTGATTCAAGTGCGTCATGAAGACTCATATCGATATCTCCTTGACGGAATCTCTGATTGCGAGAGTCAATGAGCCCTTGCTTCATTGCTTCGGCCAGAGTAACCTTCACTTGATCTGAAGCAAGTTCCAACCGGGCTGTCCAGGGCGACTCACCCGCTTTTTGTGTTCGACTTTCTTCACTGGAGCAATAAGTGATGGGGAGACATCAAAGAGGGCTGCAGCCTGGATAGCTCCTCGTAGGCTGATGAGACCAGCGTCATATGCCTCACGAGGAGTCATTTCGTGCTTTGTGCTCTTGTTGAAGAAGACAGCCTTTGTATGGTCAACAATTCCTTTCGATACAGCTCGTACAAGATTCAAGTCGTAATCACCACGATCACCTCGGATTCCAAGTGGCTTTACGAGAAGCTCATGCAGGGTCTGATCAATTATCGATGTTGCTTTTTGGTCAGATATAAGGTAGCTGTCCTGAGTTGCAAGGTCGACGACACGCTCAGCATTGGGTATGATGGCACCTGCCTCACAAGCCTCGTTAAAGCTCATCGTCTGACCAGTGCGTGTGTTCTGTATGCCTCTAACATCAAAGATGCTGTGGCGCACGCGCTTACTAAGGAGTCCTTCCCTAACGGCTTCGGGAATTGTGAACTCTTTTTGTTGTTTTTCGAGAATAATTTTTCCATCGGCGCTCAGTATTCCTCTCTCCATTGCTTCTGCTATGGAAATCACATCCTTCTCGTCAGGATCAACAATGTGACGCACTTCGGCGTCTAGAAGGCCAGCAGCAATGGCTTCAAGGATAGTATGTCTGTGCTTCGTCCCACGATCAATGAAGTGGTTGGTTGAATCGATGAGATCTTTCTCGAACATTTCCGTAAGTGAATACGGCTTCGAGATCAGATCCTCCTGGTACGCCTCTCGGAGAGACAACGTACGTCGCGTTCTGCAAATCAGTGAAGTTCCCGTTGCGAGTATTGATGGCATTGCGAAGCATGGCATCCTTGAGATTCAAACGAGTATTTTCAGCGGTATTCACAATTTCGGGCACATAGAGATTGAGAAGGCCGAATTGCTTCGAGCAAGCTTCTCTCAATGTGAATGTGTCTTTGGTGTTCTTGTCAACAAACTCGCCGTTATTGGCGTTGATGAAACCCTGCTTGATAGCATCACTCAGAGTGATGGCAATCATTGGGATCTGTTGAGCTGACACCAGCTGTAGATAACCGTGATATAGAGCATCTCTGATGGGCATGGATTCGTGAGAGTATTTTCCGACGAAGTGGCCAGAAACAGTGTTGAGAACACCCTGATCGATGGCACTGTGCAGAGCCATCGGAGGAAGCTTGAGGATTCCCATTTTCACAAGCCTTCTCTGGGTATCCATCGTGACAATCTTATGAGCTACCCAGTCGTACAACTCAAGCATTTCGCCAGTGTGAATGTCGTACAGATGTCTAGTTTGAGGGTCGTACAGACCTATCTGTATCGCCTCAAGAAGTGTCAAATCGGCTCCGGTTTCTGGATGGACGAATACCGTATCGAGTATTAAGCACGTCGTTGAATGCGCCGTCAATGTAACCCAATTCTACAGCTTTTTCAAGGCTAATACGACCAGAATGGATGTCGAAGAATTGTCCTCCGCCAGCGCTAAGATCAAGAAGTCCTTGCCTAACGGCTTCGACGAAAGTGAGGATCTCACCGGTCTGCTTGTGCAACGTTCCCTCCATTTCGTAGAATTGAGTTTTTGTTACCGTTTCCTCTTGATACATTTGCATCTCATCCTCATGTTCTGTGATTTTCGCCACTCCCGGCAGATCTCCAATCACTTCAAACTCGTCTGGATTCTCTTGGCCGACCACTTCATGGATCTGGCTACCTTGCACAATGTTGAGAGGAGGCATCTGCAAGCAACAATATCTATATTCGTCACCAAAATTAGAAACCTTAATCAACAGGGCCAAACTTAGAAAATTGTGATTTGGTTGATTAGTGTTGATTAGATTTCACTTCAAACGCGGAGCAGCTCACTCAGCAAAGGAAAACCACCAACCTGTTTACGTCGCTTCTCTTCCTCTTCGCGCCTTCGTCGTTCCTCTTCCTCTCGACGGCGTCGATCTTCATCGTCTTTTTCACGTTGGCGTCTACGCCTGTCCTCCTCCTCCCGACGACGCCTCTCCTCGTCCTCTTTCTCGCGCTCACGTCTACGTCTCTCTTCGTCTTCCCTTTCGCGCTCTCGCCTACGTCTATCCTCTTCCTCTTGTCGACGTCTTTCTTCGTCTTCCCGTCGACGCCTTTCCTCATCCTCCTTTCTTTTCCTCTCTTCTTCCTCGCGCCTCCTGGCTTCCTCAGCAGCCAATCTAGCCCTTTCAAGCTCGGCGGCCATGCGTCTGGCTCGCTCGGCCTCCTCAGCAGCACGTCTAGCTGCTTCGGCGGCTTCTCTCTCTTTTCTAAGCCGATCCGCATCCTCGAGTGCTTTCAGACGAGCAGCCTCGAACGCACGTCGTTTAGCTTCCTCATCTGCTTTCCTCATGTCTTCCTCTTCCTGTAAAGGGCGCAGTCCGTGTTCATTTAGTAGTTTAGTCTCACAGCAAAAAGACATGTCATTACAAAGCACTCGGAAAATCCCCGCCGCACGTGTCACTGGAGTGAAAGCGAGAAGCACACACGCACACAGAACAACTAGCAGTGAATCAAGACTGTGCGGGCAGGTAACAGCCACAAGCATAACGAAATGTAAAGGACCACAAAACACACCAAACTAAAACTCAAAAACTGCACACAACACTCTCCGTTACAATTCTAGCACAAGCTGCACTGCACCTAAATGCTGCAGCTACGGTGACAGGACCTGAAAACACTCCGCGAGGAGCACAGTTAGTGAGAGTCGAAGAAAGTATGACGAAAACTAGCAAAATAGCTGAAATCAGTTAAAAGGCAGATGGCTGGCTGGATTATTTGTATGAAAATTAGGATAATTAAACAAGTATATGTTGTAAACAGGAATCGGTGATGTGTGGGCACAGTGGTTAATTGCCAAGACCGTCCCAGTGGACAGAAAGCGGTGATTTTCCGTGGATTCTACCTAAGACTATGACTGAACAGTGTTCCTAACAATAACACTTGAATCGGCGATTCCCCATAGAACGTAGAAAAGCTGAGTACTGCTTAATTTTGGGAAAAAATCCCTGGGCAATCGGATTGTTGGGGGAACACCGCCGAAACATGTGTCCTACTGAAGAGTCCAAACCACAACACGTACCTGTTTCTGGCGTTTCCAGTTCTGGATCAACACCTGCATCGTGTTACGGCGTTCAAGAATGAGACTGCTCAATTGAGCAAATCGTCTGTTCAGTGCTTCCAATTCTTCGGTAACAATCTGGGCACCATTCTTTGGTTGAGGCTTTGTTCGACGGAATTCCTGCTTGACAGCCGGACCGTGAATTCCAACAATACTGTCATGGAATTGTCCCATACGGCTATCGTAGCCCTGAATAATTCACGACTCGCTTTCTTCAATAAAAAGCAAAAAATCACGACCTTTACCTTCGCTTCGCGTATGAATTTGCCACCTTCTCTATTCACGTTCTCGATAGCTTCAGTTCGTTCTTGCAACTGGGCATACTCGGCGACCAGTAGGTCTAGCTGCTGCTGGTACTGCTCTGGACGCAGCTCCTCTGGTTTCCGTAACTTGTTGATCGTTTCTTCGACACGATCTAGCCATGCCATCTCGTTTTCGTATTCACTCCTTAAAACAGGATTGTTAATTTGATTAGATTACAAGTAATTCCACGTCTGCAATCGCTACAGATGCGAAAGGTAATCGGTAACTTCAGTGTTAAAGGGTCAAAGGTTGGCGGGTAGATCAAAAAGTCTGTTAGCCCCCTGAAATGCAAAACAAGAACAACGAAAAATTGCCCCTGTTGAGGTCACTTGTTTCATCTCTTAGTCAAAACTGCGTTGGAGGGCCCTTGAAAGAAAATGAAAAGGGAATGGCATACAACAAAATCGGGTGCTATCGCAAAATATAGGACAGGGGCATCCTCTACACTTATAATGAGCCTAAGAGT